AAAAAAAAAAAAAAAAAAAAAAAAAAGCATGTGGGTTGAGAAATTTCTCTAGGACTCCTACCTTGACCTCTGTAGCTGCAGAGACAGTGACTATCACGTTCCACTTCAGGAGTAAGAGTTAAAAGTAGGATGATTAAATTGAGGCATCCTCTAGGCTTCAGGAAAAAATGCAGAATTTCTTTCTTGGCCCAGAGTTAGAGCTTAAAACAGTAAGAGTCAAGTTCCTGACTTCTTTCAGAACTTCCCATGAAAAACTGCTGAGTAAGGAGCTAAGCACGTGAGAGTTTAGTCCTAAGGTTGTTTCAAAACATTCCACTGTGTTGGTCTGAAATACCTTGAAACTGCAGAGTGAAAACATGCATTCCTCAGCCAGTATGAAGTAAAAAAATAAATGTCAAGCCTGCCAATGTCAACACTGTAAGTTTTTCCCATGCTACTAGTTTGTAATTACAATGAAATTCATACAAAGGTAACAATCTCACTAAAACATTTAAACCCATACCTTGTGGTCTAATGGTCTGAGTTATTACCACTGGCATCCTAATCTGGGTAGTCTGGCAAGCAGGGTTTCGTTTCACAGTTTGAGCAGATGTTGACTGGATAATCTGCTATTATTAAAAAAAAGTATACTTATATTATACTCTTTATACACAAACACACACAACGTAAATACACTAATACCTGCAATTACTAATATAAGCATGTGGATCTCTAAGAGCACAACCAGCTAGTGACAAAAGTCATATTCATGTAATGCGTGCGGTTGTGTGTGTGTGTATATACCTATTTTGCCATTATGCTTTAAAAAAAATCAAATAATATTTGACACAAATGTCATGTCACAACCTTCATCAAAAATAGATTTCAAAGTAGTAAGGTTAATACTAAAGTTTAGACTTTCGTCTTCAGAAATTTTACTAGGAAGTAAAGCATTTTTGTAGAAGAAAATGCTGCAATAATTTTAGTGGTAACCACCTACAACCGTTAGGCCTTTCACTACATTTCTACACTTCTTAATGAAAATATATAGTAAAAGTAAATTCTAAAATATTGTGGGTTCCAAAGTCAGATATACACAAGAAAGAAACAATGTTTTGTGGTGATCATACACTATTCATCTTTCAAATGTTAATTGGATATTCTCAAGACTTCACTTACTACTAAGTTCTAAAGTCCTTACCCAAAACTGAAACTGGGCTAGCAACTTAGAATTTGACCCAAAGCCAAATCAAATCAAAAAGAAAAAACCTGCAAGGGTCATGTCTAAGCAACAGCAAACTATATGTTCATGAAATCAGGGACAAGGCAAGCACAGATGTAATGAACAGAAGATTCGAAAATACGTGTGGATGCTACAGAGCTGGAAAAAAAATAAATCCGTAAATAAACTCTGAAAACAAAACCCGGGCAAATAGCTGCGAATAAGATTACAACCACAACTCAGGCATGACAACTTCAGAAGTCATGTGCTCTTCACAGTCACAGCTCCGTTACTCCCACTGTATAATGTGTCTGCTGTTTCCAAATTACACGTCTTGGTCTCACGCCCACAGGATGCAGTATTCCCTCCTAGAAGACAACACGCCACGCTACACACTCTACATGGAGCAAATGGGAACCACTGCACCTTTAATCAGCACCAGTCAGCATTATTCTTACAAAGTCTATCTAAAACTGTATTATTAAGCTGAATAATGAATGGCCAAATCTCTGACTTTGAAGTATGCTATGGAGAAAAAGAAAGGAGAAACAGTATTTTCAAATGAGACGTAATAGCAGAGAATTAAGAAGCTATGGAACAATTAGGAAATTGTTCCATCAGCAGTAACCAGGTCTCCCAAATCGGAGGGAAGAGAGGTGAAAACTACAAACAAGAAAAGAGTAATGAGGGAACAAGACTTGCAATGTAGTCTGAAGAAAAAAATAAATAGGGCCATTCTGAAGTTACAAAATTGCATTCTGTACATCCTAAAATATTAAAAGTTGAAAAGCCGTGACAAACCTGTGGATGTAGAAGTATTAGCAATAGCTACCTTGCAGAAAGAGAAAAGGGAAAAAAAGATTAAGGATTCAGGTTCGACTATGGACACTGAAGGGAAACAAAGCATTTGTACTAAGAATAGAAATGGAGCAAATGGATGTAAATTTACTCGGTCAAGATGGGCAGTGAGTAAATAGTGACACTCAGAGGGAAAAGAATAGAGTAGCTACCATGCTTAGAAACAGGAAAGAAACAGAGGTGATAAGTGAAATTGAGGGAAAAAAGTTTTATTTGACTGCACTTTGATGCACGGGAAACACATACAAGTATATTTTAACAAGTAAGGAGACACAATAGCCCACAGGGAGGGAAAAACAAAAAAACCCCACCACCCACGAAAAAGACTACACTGGTATGAAAAAGGAGGAGAATGTTGCTGCTTTTACAATAATTTATTGGATGAGTTTTCAGAGAATTGTGAAGAAAAGCAGCCGTACCTGAACTGGCCAGAAGCCAGGCCAGAAAGGGAGATGTGTGTGACCTGTGGGTAGAATTACTATCTGGTATTACAGTAGTCATCTGTGATTAGATTTTTTTTCTCTGCGAAGCAAGCAACTTCTATCATTCAGAATCAAGTTCCATTTCACCTGATTAATATTTTCATGTGAATGCTCTAAAAATGAGCCACTGACACTATTGAAGATAGGATATTATTTAACATGACATAAATAATGGCAATGTTTTCTTTACTATTAAATACAGTAAAAAAATGTCTTTTATCAAGTACTGTACTAGGACTTCATATGTAGAAGTGCTGAAAGTGTAGGAAATTGAGAAATAAACTTGTCCAAGGGACACAGATTAAAATCATCATCTTAAATTCCATACAGAAACCAATCAGCAACAAGCGCATATTCTCTAAAAGAAACAACTGCACTTGAACTCAGAGCAACATTTTACACTAACTTGAATTCCATTTTCTATACAGATTTAAGATACACTTCAACACAGATGTAATCTTCAGATCTGGAACTGATTAAGGTATAAACATCAGCAATTTGTTTCTGAAACAGAACGTGTAACCTTCTTTGCAGGTAAACAAAGAACATAGTAAAAACCGATGAATCAGAGGTAATCGACTCTGCATTAAAACTTATAAACAATCTAAACCACCCTTCATCAATTAAAACAATCCAAACTGTTCTAATCCTCTTGCCTATTTTCCCAACAGCATAAACATTACTATCATGTCCTTAACTTGGCCTGAAAAGTGTAAACAACAAACAAGGTACTAGCAAGCTAGCCTGGGAGCTGATTAACTTAGACAAATTATTTCATATTTCTCACAGCCTAAAAAATACACGCAATGAGTGTATCCCATCTAATGTTATCTATTCATATGCTGAATCCCAAATGATCAGTTAGTACGCACCAATTTACTATCCCAGACTGATATGGAAGATAGAGAAGTGGATGTTTTAGTATACTGAGATTATCAGAGACATTACTTCAGCCTTCAGAAAAGAGGAGATCTTATTGCTGCCTGCAACTACCTTATGGGAAGATGTAGAGAAGATAGAGCCAGACTCTCTCAGAGCTGCAGAGCAGAAGGATGTGACACAATGAGCACGAGTTGGAATATGGGAAATTTCAATTTAGTACAAGGGAAAAAAAATTTACCTGCAAGCACTGGGACAGGTTGCCCAGAAAAGCTGTGTAATCTCATCTTGAAGATACTCAAAACATGACTGGTCAAGGGCCTGGGCAACATGCTAACCTGTAAGCACTTTTACTACTACATCCATAATCATAATATCAACGATCAAAAGTGCTGAGTCAGATAACAAGACAGAATATAAGTCTTCAAAGTTTACAGAAACTGTTCGTCATTCCATCTTCACTAAAAAGAACGGAAGCCATGTTCATTGTTTTCACCACTGAAGACAGCAAGCACAACAGCAGAAGAAAACCAACAAAGGCACAGGGGAAAAAAAAAAAAAAAAAAAAGATTTAATGTGATTTAGCCATTGCCTGGATTTGATAATGAGTTTGGAAAATAGCAAAATTACCAAACAAAATTATGATCGAGACAGCAAGTACTGACATATCCCAGCTTATTCCTCTTCGCTCTATCAATTGGTCAAAAGTTGAAGAATCGTCTCCTAGGCTACTGGACTTCGGAGCTCTTCAAGGAACACACTGAAGCAGGTAAGTCATGTCATTGCTTCTCTGAGTGCAATACATGAAAAGTTACCTATTTTTTTCCTGCGAAATAACATTTTTCTGCAAAGAAAGATGTACATTTCTCACAATAGAAAGTATACTCCCTCTTTTTAAATTTTATCTTCCCACTTCTCTGCTTAACCGTCATCTTTCCACTCCACTAGTCACACTCACTTTGATTCACCATCTGTCTGCTCCACCAGACAAGTTCCTTCTCTCACTTCTCAAATGCTTCAGACTACTCCTCTGTCCATTTCTAAAGTTCACTTTATTTTCACATGTGTTGAAAGGGATGTTCATACAAGGGTGCTTCCACAATACAAGCAGACTTATGAAGATGAAGAAGTGGTGACAGCCGAAATACTCATTTTTAATTAAGGCCCTTCTTCAAAAATCTTGGATTCAATAACTGTGTGAGAATAAAGTAATTGCACTCTCTGGTCCTAATCTCAAGCCAAAAGGTGATGATCATACCATGAGGTGCGTGAATCTTCTACCATAGGTATTATTGCAGGACAAAGAACAGATTACAGATGTGAATACAGACCAATAATTAACAACACAAATGGCCAATAAATACAGATTGAGAAAGAATTCAGCCAAAGCACATAAAACGTATAAAAGTAGAAAGACTGATAACTCCTGTTCTCTTTCTCTTACCTAAACAGGAGATACTAAATAAAAATGAAAGCTACTACCAACAAACCATTGAAGGGAAAAGTCCTTTAGGACAATTAGATTAGAACTTGCTGCTAAAGTTTTTGAGGACAAGGATTTTGCCAGTCTCAGTGATCTAGATGCTCCTTTACCAGTGCAAGTGGATGAGGTCCCAACAATATGCTTCCCCTTACTTGTCAAGGGCTGCAAAATCAGACTGACTCAGTTTACATATATCACACTTTGCAACAAAAGCATCTGATCCAAAAGCTTAAGGGTATCAAATACAGCAATAAAAACAAAAGCGTAAGAAATAGAAGCTTCTGCAAAGAATGGAAAATAAAAACAGATTTGGAAACTATATCCTTTACCAAGCATTTTTTCTCTCAATTAAGTTAAAAAAAGTATTGCAGAAGGAAGAACAAGCCACTTGTAAAGCACAGAATTCAGAATGGCCATGGTCTGATATGACATTTATCTTCACTCATGAGTAAACACTTGCTAACTCACTTGTGGCTATGCCACTTGTGATTTATCAGTCTACTCACTCCTGAAGATAAATGTCATATCAAACCTCAGCTATCATGTAATCTGGCAGCATTAACTTACAATGTTCATGGTTTTATGGGCCTAGAATTCATATTTGCCATTGTTTACCATGCTGTAATAGTAACAGTTACAATTTTTCAACAGTGCCTCAAAATTTGCAGTTATTTTTCCTCCCAAATAAGAAAAACAGGACTTTTTTAAAACATGGCATGTAATTTTTAATGTCAATGACAATATTGTTCCACTGAATATATGTTTTCAAAGAAGCAATGAAGAAAAAAAAAAAAGCCACTGGATCACTTGTCCTCTACCTGCTCCCCAATTAATTACACAATTCTTCCTACAGTATTTCACCTGGTATCATTTTGAATGTTTTCAGTGACGGCTTTTTCATTGCTGCCTTTGGAAGCCTGATCTACCATCTAGTAATCTGTCTTACTGTAAGGATATTTTGCCTTACATCCTGCCTAAATCCTACTTTGCTTAATTATATCCTGTTATTCATATTTATACTTTCTTAGACCACTCTGAATAAGCCATTGATACACTTTGATGATTAAACCCTTAAAATATTTGTAAATGGTTTCTGTGCTTCCCTTTAGTCAGTGTTTGACCAAGTTACATGTGTTTAATTCTCTTAAGCTTTTCTTTTAGTCTTTGCTTTCAAGTCTGTGCTTTAATTGCCATCTTTTGTTACTGGTTTCCAAACAGCTTTCACTGCCAATATCCTCCTTATACTAAGGTAGAACCCACAAAATTCTGAAAGTAAAGTCCATGATAACAACTCAGAAAACTACTAGGCTGTATTTCAAAGAGGCATACAATTTGTCAAGTATAGGCTTTGTTCCTGTTAATGGATCCAAGACGTCTACTGCTCAACAGCCATTTTTATTTAAATTTTATTGTATGCCAAATTCCAAGTAAGCAACTAGATCTTCATTAGGTCATTAACAGAAACTACTCCTTTTATCCAAATAGCCATCTTTTACTCTTTCCACTTCTAAGCTGCCTTGCACACAGGACAAAAAGAAAATTATTTCCTGCGAGTCACTATAATATGTACAAATTATGATCACTCAACAACAGAAAACTGATGCCAGAAAAAACTTCAGCAGAGAATTAAAAAGCAAAGCAGAACATCCCCATATAACATAATGCTTATTCTGCTGTTGTACCTTGTTTCCAAATTCCATTACTCCATCTCACCTTTTGGGAGCCTGCAACCACTATGACAGTCCCTGGAAAAGTGTTAGTAAATGTTTTAGCAAATACCATTCTAATGTAACTTAGAAGATGGCGAAATCTCCCCTCTGGACACTGTGCATAATTTACTGCAGCAATAATGGTCTAGAAGTATTTCTATATATCCTTCCTAATCCTAGACCTGCACGAATCTTTATATATCTTTGCATATAATTAATTTGTTTTAATTAGATGGATCATTTTGAGTATCTTGCTGTTTGTATTTAAATTCAATAACTGGCTTCAACCTCCAGGAGTACTTTGTCCTTACAATGCAGTGCCAATACAAAATATATAAAGTGCTAATCGATCTCCATTACTCATCAATCTACTACAACTTCAACATGTTTATTAAAGAACATCTCTCTTACTCATAAAAATTTTATGTGCTGTAACACCCAGAACGAGACAGGTGATGTCTGCATATATAAGGCTATATAGAGCTCCTGCCCCCTAAGAATGACAATTTAGACAAACTTTGAACATTGCACTTAGAACAATTAAAAAAATTGATTGCTGGCTTATCTCATTAGTGTCTCATCAATAAAATATTAGCCTAAGACTATTCCCCTTTTCCCTAGCTAGAAGTAGTTACCAGTACTAACAGCACTATCTAGCTCTTCAGCGCATAGCCTTTTCACAGTTTTGAAACACTGTTCCAATACTTCACAAAACAGATAAATAAAATAGTCTTCTCTCTGATCTCCACTAACACTATACATTTTAATGCTGAAGTCTCCTTTGCGCAATCTACACTGCAAGCTGAACAGCATACACAGAATTCCCATGTTGCAAGATACCTCAATATCTTGAGATAGATGGAAGAAGAAGTATCACCACATCTGACCCCTTTGTAAAACAAAAAAGTAAAAAGAAAGGAACAGCTAACAGATTCTCAACATTTTAAAAGGAAGTAGAATACTGCAAACTGGCTGGTATGAAAGTATCTATATTCCAAAACAGGCTTGCCCTTCTGCAGCTGGACAGTTTGCAAAGCCAGCTGGAACTCTCTCCGGTGAGCTTCAGGCTTGGAAAATCTGGAGCTCAGCCAGTTTCCTCCATCAGTGCTGGCCACCCTTAGGCAAGCCAGCTGTAATCTTCCTCTTTCGGACAAGTCCCAGGCAAAATGGCCAGCAGCTCTTTGCTGTGCTCTGATTTTGGGGAGCACTAAGAAGTGTGAAGAGTGTGATCATTGTCACCACAAAAAAGTCAATACTTGTGAACAATTACTAGTCTGATATGGAGATGCTGCTGGGTTGTCTGCTTGGCACCTGCATTGATAGTTGCTGTGGTATATAAGATTTTTTTAATGCAGTAAGTCTTACTGTCCGATGCTGCTTTTGTCTGCATAGAACTAATTTGAGGGCCATTAAGAAGTGCTTGGTTAATGTAATGTTTGGTTCTATTAACTATTTACTGATAAATTGAAGCAAATACAGAATGCCAGTTTTGCAATAAAGCCAATAAATTATAGGTTTTTAATGTATGTACTTCTCCCTAAATATTTTCTAGAAAAGGAATAGTATTAAGCATAGTTTTGCTCTGCACAGTTTGCTACCTTTTGAAAATGTAGTGGTCATTTCATGTACCCAGTAAGTGAAAATTCAGTCCTAGACCTATGACCTCCTTACAGACAGACAAACAACTTCTTTTGCCCATCAGATCAATCTCCATAATACATTAATTTAGCAGTTTTCAGCTCCCTCATATTGCACAGGTGAATAAGATGACAGAGCAACTCTTAACCCAACTAGAGATTAACAATGTGAACATCACGATTGCTTGCTTTGAGTATGCATTGACTTGTGAGGGAGACACAGAAGGTGTCTCTCCCACAAATTTGACTTTATCCCATTCAGAAAATATTCCACAAGAACTATAATCGTAAGAGTAAGTCTTATGGACTTATTGACACATTTTTGTTCTACATGTGTTTCTCAGAGAAGATGTTCTTACATATTAAAACTATGCTCACGAAAGGATGCTAAAATTATATTAATTTCATTTTAAAGTTAGCAATTTACCTGCTAGGAAGTATTTGTAAGGTTCAAAAGACATGGCTCAGACATTTTCAGATTGTGCACTGCTACTTTTAAACTAAAGCAAAAGAAATATTCTCTCTCCACACAACCTACAAATTATTTATATCCTTTATAGCGCCTATAAACTCGAAGGTAGATAACTGTAAGGTTTTACATTATCATACATGCATTTCTGAATCTTGGCAATATAAACTTTTACCAACTTGATACACCTTCTGGAACTTGTCATTTTGATTTTGAAACTTAAGTCAAGTACTTTACTCATACATACACAGAAACGACAGACAAAGAAACTCTTAACATCTTTGCTTGAAGGATGGTAATGCCTGTATAAACTCAAGGCCTTGTAAAAATCCTAAACATATTTTAATTACAACTGTAAACACACATGCAAGATCCTATAGAACAGTGGGATAAATTCACCACACTCTCAGGGAGTAACTGGCTGTATAGTTGCCTTACTGATAGTGCCTTTGAAATTAATGAGTCTAAGCACCTAATACTCAAATATGCACGACAATTACATATTTCAGTAAATAACAAACTATGGCACTATTTCTAAACAAAACATGCTGGTACAGTACAGCTATTCTTCTACAAGATTTTATAACTATGTATAGAAAAGTTTAAAATGAGATAGAGTCAATTTTAATGCAGACTAAACTAAGCAAAGCAGCGTACCTAATGACACACTGAAAATTATACTCTTGCCTGTAAGTCTTGAAAAGCTTTCTGTTCTACATTTGTAATTAACTCAAATTCCACTATGCTCTTAAAACAATCACTGTATTCCAGACAAAAAGGCCAAGAGCCTACTTTCTTAAATTTAAGCTATGTTAATTATGTTATCTAAACTAATGGTTGAACATAATGTGAACTGCCATAAAATGAGGTACTACTATATATCACAGAATATGACACAAACAAACAAAAAAGTATTTTTACAAACAAGCTGCAATAAAAATAACATTGAAAACTGCTATTCAGTTTGTTAAGAAATTTTCTTTTATACTACAGTACCTACCAGTTGAGAACTCTGATTTGACTGTACCACCTTAACCTGAGGAGGCTGCACTGTATTTGATACAGAGACTGTGCAAATGTTGTTTGGTTGCCTTATTCCTATTGTCTGCGTTGTGACAACAGAGGAAATGCTTCCAGAGGCAGATTGAGGTATAACTTGTGATAGCTTGGTTTGTTGAAGTGACTGCTGAGACGGCTGTCCTTGCAAAACTGAATGTTGACTATTCAGTAAAGATTGTCTCAATGCAGGTAGACTTTTCTAAAAACAGAAGAAAGTTTATGAAATTTAGCAGGTTGACAAAAAATAGTTTGACACTTGCTGTAAGCCTGATTAAAAGAATGCAGCTTTTTTCCAATTTTACTATCTGCATATTCATCAAAAAGAAGTAAGATTGAACACATGTTGTAAAAGGGAAAGTTCAGTTTATATTTTTAATAAGCTTTCCATTTAGATTTAGCAACCCTGTAGAATTTTATGTGCCCTAATTCCCCTGTAGCAGTAAAATATAACACACCCCTGCCTCAAAACTGTCTAGAACTTGTAGCTTAGGTCTTTGGAAGGGCAAAAAATGGAAATAGAAAAGGCAGAACCGTAGGAACAGCCCTACTCCCATTGCATGCTAGAAGAAGTAAGCTGCACCAATTTACTTCTCCTGACATGCCTCCAATACCTACAACAAGATGATTTAACTGTTGATGCCCTACAGCAATAGCTGTTTACTGTATTATTACTGATCTAATGTATTCTGACTGGATTAGAAAAGTGTACTATTGTATGTTTCATGTTCAGACCAGTTCAACCAAAAAATATAGTTCTAAAAGGCTACACTGTACCTTCACGAATAAACTTTTTACTTTTCAAGTGGTAGTAGTGTTCTTTTGAAGTGCTCCCCCCTTGAAGTGCTCCCCCCAGGCAGCTGTAGAATGCAACAGTTTAGCCCAAGCTACAGTTCTTTCTAAACTTCTAATATTTATATAAAAACTTAATGCCTGTTGCCAAGAAAGGACTTCAAAGAAAGGAAACAAGTTAAAACTTATCATGATGCTAGAAGTGACTGCAGTATAACAGCAGGAAAAGGCACAAGTAAGGGTTAATGCTAACTTGAAAAAACAGAAGCAGAGAGAGAGAGTTCTGAAGAAAAGTAGAAGGGAGAGAAGAAAGAGAGGAAATCTGCCCTAAACTGAGAAGTTTTGGACTAGAAGTAAAATGCTTTTAAAATTACAGTTGTGGGTTTGTTGGGGTATAATTAAACGTGCTTTGTATGCTTGTCTATAATCTCGGATATGGAATCTGTTGTAGCTAATGTACAAGAACCAATTAAAAGTTAAATTTACCCCCACGTATACTAACTTAGCACCCATCACATTAGAACTTCTGTCATAGATTAGTTCCAGATTACAAGCAGGATCAGCTAATCAATTATTTCAATAAAATTATCAAGTTTAGTTTTTCATAATCACCATCACACATGCATTGAAAGTTATCAATGACTCAAATGTAGGTTACAGAAACAATATGGAAAAAGCTTATTAAATTACTTGAAGCAGTCTATAGAAATTAACTTGTGACTCTTCCAAATGTGAATGCTGCACTTCTTCACAAAAAGATGACCTACTACCACAGGAAAGTATATGCATTATAACAGTAAAGGATCACTACAGAACAGACAGTGGATGGTTTCCAAATTAGGGAGTAACTGCTTTTTTATATAAATGTAATTACTAATTGCTACAACGTTGTAGGATCAGGGCTACTCAAGCAGTAGACTCCGGATCAGCTCTGGACGACAAATAAATTTTTCTTAAACTTAAACCAAGGCCCCAAACACATGAGGTCTCCCTCCTGCAGGAAATCCCTATTTCTTACCATTCTCTCAAACTCTCAGGGAGCAGATAGCTGCAGCACACAGCCACAGCTCCCAACCGCAAAGCAGTAAGCAGCACCTGGCTGGCCTGACAAGAGATGGAGCTGGCACGTGACTTCCAGCCAAGAAGATTTTGGCAGAAATTGGCAGCACAAAGTAAAAATTTAGTAGCCTGTTCTAGACAGGTGAAACTAATTCAATTTAAAAAGTATATTCTAAAACTTAATGTATTGACATTTGCATTGATATAAATTTATCTAAACAATATTCGCATTACCTTAAGGAAAGGTACAAGATATGGCTGAGGAGATGATTTGAGTTCCGATTGAAGGCGGCCTGTAAATTCTTCTGGATCAATCTTTGCATCCTTCAGGGGGAAGAAAAAAAAAGAGCACCAACAACTTAGTTCAGTTGTTTGGTTGTTTTTTTTCCCAGATAACATTTATGGATATATCTCTATTTAAAGAGGCTACCATATCAAGAAGAACTTTCAAAGCTGAAGTCCCTAAACTCCTCTGTATCTATAAAACCTTCTGTCAAGAGCTAATTTATGTATGTAACATGCCACTCAGAATTCAGGGAGTTCCCTTGGGGATGCACAATTTAAGACACATGAAGATCCCACAAACACTCAAGTCTTTTTTTTGAGATTCCATTCTCTTGCTAGCATTTACACAATGATTTCTGTTTAAAAATATTGATAAAAAACCAAGTTGTTGAAATAGCCTTACAAACGATTATAAAATTCACCAGCCCTTGTAATAAGAAAATATCTTAATTTCAAAACCAGTTTTGAAGGTTCAGTTTAACTTAGTAGTATACGTGTATGCATATATATAAAATGATATATGTAAAGCATATGCATATATAAAAAGTATACATAAGTATATATATAAAATTTTCACCTATGTAAAATGTGTGTGTATATATGTATATATACTCACAAAATATACACATAAATATATTAAATATATATTCAGTAGTTTATTTAGTAGTCAATACGGGAGAACTCTATAACCCAGGTATATTATAATACTTCTAAAGTATCACTAGTTACAATTTCAGGTTGTAATAAAAACATTCATTAGCTTTCCTGGACTGACACAGAACAAGAACAAAAACAAACCAACCAAAACAACCTTCAATAAATATATTTATTTTATATATACATATCATCAGTTTGTTCAAAATATGATAATTAGTTACCTTTACTTAGTTAATCTTTCTTAGTTTTCAAAAGTTAAAATGAGTTTTTACTGGAACCACTGAATATTATTATTAAATAGCTCATACTTGAAAAAAATTCTTAGGCTTGTCTAAAATGCACAGGTTTCTCTGTCAATGAATTCAAAGAAATATATATAAACTACCTTTAAATCCAAGTTCTTCATAGGCTATATTTAATTTCTTTTAAGAAGCTTGACCATTTGTCCAGCTCCACACTAACATCTGTCTGAAACTCATTTATACAATTCACTGAAACATCTGTTGCACTGGACTACAGTAACTCAGACCTTTTCCAGGCCCAAGGGCTCTCTCTAGCTGAAACACAACTTTGCCTCTTGAAAGCCTCTTGAAGTTAAGGCTCCATGCCGGGGCATCTGTCTGCAGAACTGCTTGGACTCAGCAGCTTAGCAAAATACTTTTTCCTTCAGTCCTAGAAACTCTAAAGCATGTTGGGGAGTCATACATCTATGTTCATTCTGTGGTTAAAACATTTAATGGTTTCTTAGTGTTTCAGAAAAGACTGTGGTTTGGAGGAAAAAAAACCAATGAATTGTCAAGGAAAACCCCTGTATCTTACCCTATTTTTCTAAATAAACAACCAAACTATTACCCATCAAAGCAAGTGTGGTTTTGATGAATGCATACTAAATATTTTGCTGCATTTCTCCTTTCAGAAACTAAGGGAAAGCCTACCTTTGACAGATTTTTGAAGATACATAATGTACAGAATATTTGCATTTTGATGCAGCCCAACTCCTTTCACTTTCATTACAGAAAAAAAATAGTTAAGCTATAGTTTTCAGCATACATAAATAACAAGCTTAATAGATAACTGACAGAATGAAAGATAACTAAATATTTACCAACAAATCCTGAACCAGAGCTTTCACATTACGGGACGTTTCTGGAGACGGTGAATTATGAGAAGCAAGTTTTATAAGGGTAGCTAAAAAGTTTTTGCATTTTTTCACATTCTCTTGCATTTCCTGCAAAAACCAAAGAAAACAAATATCAGATCCACACTAAATTCCAATCAGCATCAATGCATGCTCTGGTCACTGTAAATCAGGAAAATTATGAAATTGTTCTGATTCAGGCAGGACACATTTGAAATACATCTGCAGCTATTTTACTATTGCTGCTAGTTACCCGACATTTTCTTCATTACATAACTAAAATCATACCTCACGAATACTAACAAAAGAAGAAAAATCAATGAAGGAAATATATTTAATATTTTACAGTCTGTTTGGATAAAAATAACCTTAAATATGAGAAGTAACACAACAATTTGTTGGAAATGCATTCTCCTTTGAGATGCCCAATACACAATGTACAATGTTCTCCAAGCTATATTAATTTGTTAAATTATTGATTCAGTATGTTTTTGTACAAAACAGCTACAGCAGTAAAATCAAATTAGAAATAGGCTTCAAACATCATCATATCTAATCTTTTTTTCATCAGTAAGAAAACAGATGCGTTAATTTTTTCAAACTCTTATTTTTATATGGTGTAATTACTCCGAGAAACAGAAATGTTACACTTCAGTGTAATGACACTTTTGAGGCCCAACAACATGATAATAACGAAGTCCATAGACTGAAGGCCCAACTGTTCTGTCTACAGAAACACAGTACTTCTTTCACTACTGACACATACATGGCAGGATGGGGAAAGCTGGCCACAAGCATGGTCAGAATTTGTACCCCATCTAGTTGAAATGAGGGAAAGGGTTTCTCGTTGATAAAGTATTTATTCCATCACATGAATTGTGCTTTGCATGAAGAAAGAGTTCTTTCTGCTTCCAAATAGACCTTAGAAGTTTATAAAGTACTAAGAAAACCAAGTATCTAGTATTTTAAAACTTACCTGTGATACAACCGTAGTTCCAGGTACAGGAGAGCTTGGTATGACCTGGGGCTGTGCTGGTACTTGTGCTGTTGTATGAGGCGGAAGTGGCAGCCGAGGCTGACCCTGGTTTTGTGCTGAAGCTTGAGTTTGTCCACCAGTAATTACTGCAGGTTGTTGGGAAGCTGATGTTCCAGTTGCTACTGTTGTCTTGAATAAATTTTGAGCGCTCGTTGTAGCTACTGATACCTATTAATATTTTATATTGAAAATGCAGGTAATTATCTTCTTTTAATTCTTTTACTCAACCACAAAGTTCTTGAAAGCCTGACAAGAAGAACTTGTTTCCTTTCAAATACACCCTTACTGACAAAATAAAACCATTGACTTTAGTTACTATAACCCTAATTTTGTCACCCTTTACTGAACAGTAAAAGTCTTCATTTAAAAAGTTCTTTTTATTACAAAAATAAATGTACCACTAAAAAATGAGTTGTTACTATCCAGCCCTTTAAGATCACCATGACTTCTGTATCTCAACTTTCTGTAAATTTGACCCTTAATATAAACAAGTCAATTCCCAATGATCTGTGGTCATGTCATCAGGTTTACAATTATCCATACCATAGTTACAGTGATAGCTCAGATCCAGATGACACAAACGCGCTAACACAGCTTCCCAACCTAATGTGAACCCAGCAGCAGCTTATATGCTTTTGCACCAGTGCAAAGCCCTAGTGAACAAAACTGTACTGGACCTGGCCGGGCCACATGCAAAGACCGTACTGCACAATCCTCAACCCTAGACAGCTAGGAAGCTTATAAGGCTGCACAGAGCACCACGCATACACGCACCCACCATCCAGTTCAGCTCTCATACTTTATCTGACCTAACATGCCACCCTTCCAAGTGCCAAAACCTCTCAGACAGACACACCAAACAGGACTGCAGAAGCTAGAGAACGCAGCCAAGCAGCATAACACGCTGAGCAGAACCTACCAGGACCTCCCAATCCAGCCCGACTGCAGAGCTTTGCTCTTTGCTTTGGGCACAGATACAGAACAAGCTAAGCAGATGTAGAACTGCGAGGCCACAGGTGATGCCGTGGATCCTGCAGCACTGGTGACCACACAAGCAGACACCACAGTTCCTGACAAGGGACAAACACACATCCACCACTGACCTAGCATTTATAAGTCCAGCTGATTTAAGTTTTTTCTTTTAAAAAAAAAAAAAAAAAAGCTTAAAACTGGATCTATACTACCCCCAAATTTTTTATCATCTAGGAAACAGTAGAAAATAAGATCCAGGCTATCACTCAGCACCTTGCAAAACAGTCTGACTACACATTCATTATTAATTTCTGGGATTATGTTTGCAATAGAAGCAAACACATGAACACTAAAATTCACTTTTGACAAAACATGTAATGACAAAACATCCTTTTCTTCACCCATCTTTTCCTTTTTATATTCTTGCTACTTACCGTGGTATGTGAAAGAATAGAGCCTCCTGGTAGAGTCGCAGCAGCCGTAGCACTGACAGGTGTAGCAGTTGATTGAACAACTTTGGCTTGCACTGGAAGTCCTAGGCGGACAGTAGATGTGGCTACAGAAGTTGGTTGCTAATAAAGGAAAAATAAACACTTTATTTTTTTTCCTCCTTAGCAACTTGATCTCAAAGACTTTTTAGTAATAGTGATTACATGAATAATGGTTATTAACACTGCAAGAAACCCAAACCAGTAGTATGTTCTTAAATATATATTCACAAATAATGCAAAAATGAGCTTTCTTATGTTCAACAATACGTTTGCAATATTTCTCCCAAAAGCTATTTCTCATATGGATATGTGGAAAAGATTAGAAAAAAATAGGATGTGACCTGCAGAAAACGGATGTTACATTGATATATTAGTTCAGTTGTAGTATTTACACATCAGTATTCATCCGTATTTGAATTTATAATTGCCAGTTAACACATATGGGTCATTTTGATATTTACTAGCTTTTTCTAGTGCTTCTTGAAAAAAATTAATATGGGAAGAAAATTCAGAGACCAGAAAAATATTTTCAAAATAATTTCAGATTAAATTATATAGAAACTAACTTGCAAAGAAATGAAGCCTAAGCATTTTCAGAATCTTTTTCATAGAATACACACTCTGTAACCAGACAGCAACTGGAATGTTAAATACAGACAAAGGAAAACGACTGGCTTACAGCCCTTCACTCAGCAGCCCACTCTGCAACTCCATAAGTTTGCCTCGTGCAAACATATTCATTGTTTTTATAATTTAATTAGGAGAAAGAGATTGAAATCTCTTACCATCATATAAAAGGAATAAAACATGTCTCCAGGAAAGTTGTCATTTAATTCTACAGGAATGTAAATACCATTATGGAAGAAATACATCACACAATATGGCAATTATAACAAAAAGAGAACCACTCGTTATTAAAAATGGAGGCCTCACTGGTCTCTTGTAACTTGCATTTATTAAGATTTGCATTCAAACACATATTTAGAAAAGACAAATTTTCTAAGTGGCTGGAGTAATAAATCATGGACAATATTGTTTCTCACAAGATAAAACCAATTTTCCTTGATTTACATTTTAAGCTACGTGACTCTATAATTAATATTTTTACAAGGAATGGCTTATTTTAGATTCTTATATTGTCTATTAAACCTACATAAAATAATTCTTCAAAGAACATCCAGTATACTTAAGAGATCTCCAACAGGAACAGAGGCCCAGGCAGGTATTCAAAGCCCCAAGCATTCCTTACCAATCAGTCCAGCAACATCATCTACTGGATATCAATCTTCAGTACTTGGGGGGAAAAAAGGGGAGAAAAAAAAAAATCTACCTGTCATCTGAACAAAACCTTTGTTTTGTTTGGACAGCTTTCAAGATTTTTAAAATCTTGGCTAGGGATGTCTTCCATACTGAGACAGCCTAGAGGCAATAAACAGCATCATCATGAATAGGTAGAATTGTCTGGTTTCTTGGAAGAAGGATCACGTAAAGCTTTTTCTGTTTTTAAGTACCTTACCTCTTTTCTCCACTGTAAAGAAGATCACTTGCTTTGATTTCTTTAAAATACTGGTTGAATGAAACTATATTTACCTGATTAATGTTTGCATTTAAAAACATAAATACTGTGTATCTTGTTCATTTGCTTATAATCAGTGTTTCCAAACTAAAAATACAGCATGCCTCTGTTATCTGTCCCCTTCTTGTCAGTAAGTACTTCCGGAGGTGAGGATTTACAAAGCAAGCAGATAACCAGGCAAACTCCTGGCAGCTACTCAGTTCCAAGAAAGATCTGCAGCCAGAAACCCACAAATACATAGCTCAGGCTCCTAGCTAGAGCAGCTAATAAATGCCGACAATTCATCACAGGAACATACTTGAAAACAAAACTGCGTGTAATTAAAACATAAAATTTCAGTATCATAACAGCGTATCATCCAACTGAGTACACAATACATTCCACACGTAGTATTCCACCGTGCCAGACCACAGGAACAAACCATGCAACATGGAAGACTAAATTCACCCTCAGTTTTAAAAATCAGTGACAAAAGCCTTTGATACAAAATGGCAGTAAGTTCTATTAATGTGTTGGATAGGAAGGAAAAGCCTCACTACCAAAGAACTGCAAAGTAATGCAACAGCTTACTAACGTGGTTCCAAAAGTCATAAATGTTAAAAAAGTGGATGAGAAACATAACAAGGAACTAGCCTAGAGAAATTCTCAACTATCAAGGAAATGATCTTCAAATGACAGCTGCAAGTTGCCAAATGACACTATAAGGACTCCCCACACAAATACTTCAAGAAGAACTGATAAAAACTATTTAGAAACAAGTAGCTACGTTTTCTATTAAAGGGAAGCTGTAAACAGATCTCACGGGAAAACCATCAAAAAGAAAACAAAAATGGTCAACATTATATAAAAAAAATCATTATCCAATGTGTCAAGCTCCTACTGGAACAACCTAAAAGAATTTATGATGTTGTTTAAAGAGAAACTGCTAACGTTTGGTATGATGTTATTAAAGTCCAAAATTACCAAGAGAGACTTAGAAAGGAATATATTTTCAAATATAACTGTATTATTTGTGATTAGACACATCACATATTTCTTCATTTCCTAAATATATGAAAGTAACGTTTGAGAGGCTTTTTCCCTGTACTCAGACATTATCAGGTAGGAAACTCAAACATGAATGAATGCAGTATATAATCCCCTACCAATCTCCATGGGGACACTTGAGAATGCTTAAGATAGCCTTTTGTATACAGACTTGAGCTGGCTCTGTCCACACAGAAAGGTTAGAAATTCTAAGTGGAGCACTGTACACTGCTACTGTGGAAATAAGGATTTCAAAACAGATCTGGCTCACGTCTGGCCAGCTTGGAGGGGGAATGGGGCTGTCCCACGGTTCATTCTGCCTGCACATGTCACGCAGACAACGCCAGTGACTCCAGTTTCAGGGTGCAATAAGTCACTTCCATAAAGGCAGTCAGTGCACATTTATAACTGTTCATGGAAGTCAGCGCAGAATTATTCTGTGTCCTGTAAATCCACTCCCTAAATAACTACACCTTAACTTTCCTATGTAGACCTTCTCCCCAGAGCTCTGGACACACAAATAGAGGGGCAAAGCTCAAGGCATAAACAGGAGCGAATGGCATTGTACCTGCTGCGGGCAAACAAGCGGCCTCTATATTTGAAGGAATAAACAAGGCTGCATTTGAAAAAGCAGGCCACTTGAATATGGAGAAAACAGCCAAAATATCCAGGGATTATTTGTCCCTGCCAAGGCATGACTACACCAATTTTAGGGACTGCATTGTGTAGTCACAGCTTTACAAAATCAAGACTACTTAAACTGCCAAAGTTAGGATACTGATATATATAATCCTTGGGAACAGGTTTGTGGTATACTTGTATTTTGTACTACAGTACCACCTACTGATGAAACACTCAGGGTACCAGCAACACAGTCTGCACTACAAAGCAAGAGAGCTTACTTTTGCCAGTTATGTTACACGTATCATTTCATGATCAGTCCTGTCAATAAACGTGGCCACTATCAATCACAAAAGTTAGAAAGAAAACACAGCAACAGCATTTGAACAAACGGTAAGACAAAAGCAGGGGTGAGTTTATCACGATACACATCATGACATCGCCTCCTGTATCTTTCAATACATGGCTTTGCTAGGTACTATACAAAACTCAATTTTAGCAGAATATGACCTTTAATTTAAATTGGCCAAATGCAAAATAAAACTCAATTTTATTTTTAAGCATTAATCTGGAAGATTTCTTAGAAACAAAATAGGCTGTGCTAAGATGCCCCGCTGCCTCAAACAATAAAAGCCAGTGTTTAACAAAGAGAAAACTAAGGTGCGATTGCAGACACTGGCAGAAGCATAGGCTAAACGTCAAATCTAGTAGCTCATTTTAGAGTAACTCATTTATACAACCTTACTTACAGGCATGGTTGGTAGCTCTACTTACTATTAACAACACTAACAAACTCTGTTTTCCATACTTCTGTCACAATTCTGTCAGATTTCTGAAGAGTTCATGGAGAAACCTCATATGCTTATTGACTGCCTCTCAAAATTTTTGGTTATGGTTCATCTGGAACATGCACTTAAACATCAGTCACAGAGCACTCTGTATGTCAGGGATTTGATTTTTTCACTCTGGTAAAAACAGCCAAATTGAACCAAAGTACTAACCCTTTAAAAAACTGACATTTGCACACAATTGCAGAAAATGACTGCAGGCAGAATCTCTAACAAGTCAGCCAACAGAGGCAGAACCTTCATTGCCACCGCAGTTCTGGGACACCACAGCATCGCTCAAGTCGAGCATCAGAACCCAAAGCAGGGAGACACTGCTATGTTCCTCATATTCGTGATGTCCCTTTTGGGTTCACAAACTAGAAGAACAACAGGGGAGGAAGACACAGGACTGGCCGCAGTTAGACAAGACAGGCAGCAGAGCTTGGGGCCACCAAAGAAAACCTTCAGAAACCACGTTTTCTAAGTCCAAAATCCCTACCTTTGAAGTCCCAGCATCCTGTTGGTGCAAGCAAATACCTATACAATCCACCATTAAAGCACTTTCTCACTCTCTGGTGCAGTGGCTGCCTCAATTGCTTGGTGCTTGTGCTGCACGCAAATACAGATAATCTATTGTAATCAATACTCTTATGCCATATATTTATGAGTGGACCACTTGAAATGGGGGGCTTGTGACAGGAGTGGCCATGGCTGCAACTGAAAACAATGAAGTCAACCTGAACACAAACAATTAACCAGTATTTTTAATTTAATATTTAAAATAGTTACAATTAGGCTAATAATCCCTCTAACTGCATTGTTGAGAAAGTTGTTATAGGGATAAGCTTCAAGAAAAAAACCTGCTCAGTTATTAATTCCCACTTCAGAGGGGGGCTTCGATAATATGCAGCAAATAAGCCTGAAGCAACCCACTGAACAGTGAAGAAAAAAAAATATTACATAATTCTTCATTAATTAAGACTGTCCAGCCTACACACTGTGAAAATTAAAAATAACAGTAGTATGTGGTC